AGGAAATAAGTTATTTACAAAGTTAAAGCAGGTAAATACACACACACACACATCAATGAGTTACTGTCTTAAGTTTCAAAAGTAAGATAGGCTTCTCTAATAAGCTGTCCCTTAGCGCTAACCGAAGCTAAACCCTAGGGATCTCCTTCTTATGCCTAGAAAACATTGCCCTTGAGTCCAAGCAGCATAGCGATGCAGTTTCTTCTTGTTAAGGGGTTTTATCCCATTCCAATTCTCTGACCTGCCAGTTCAGCTGATGGGAGGAACTCCTCTTTATTGGGGGCAGAGAGCAAACAACAAAGTCTTTTGTCTTCTGATGATCCACAATAGTGCATCTAGTGGTGATGGGCTGATTTGTTGGGCAGAAGGTAACACCTCCTGTTGGAGACTGGTACTTCACACTGGTTAATGCTTATATCATCTGCATCATCTCACTGGTTAATGCTCCTCCCCTGTCTGGTGATTTACAGTTACAGAGCACACACGTAAATATTACCTGATAACATGGGATGCAGATGATATAAGTGAGATTAATGCATCCAGACCCTTACAAGCATTTCATAAAGTCTAAACACATTCTTATAATTCTAATAACTATTTTAGCAATACTAACACACAGGTGAGGTAGGCTGATTCCAGCTATGCATTTGTCAGTGATCATTTGAGACGTAGGCCCCTTGGCATAAGCTGGCACCTGGTCTGCCAGCGTCACACTGACAATTGCAGGATCTCACAGTGGTAGTCTAAGACCTTGTAAAAGCATTTGATGAATATGTGCAATTTAACGATTTCTCAAATAGCGACTCTTGCTTACTCTGGACACAGCTAACGTCCTGCTGAGGGGGAAAATAACATCCATCTCATAGTACCAAGAAAATATAGCAAAATTGGATGTGCACGCAAAATTAGCCATTAAAAGATCAGTGAGGAGCTGATTAGAGTCTGGGGAGGAATTAGTTTAGTGAAAATAAATAGGTCCGAACACACGATCAGAGTTACTTAGTGTTATTACAGTGAAAAAGATAATAAAGCACAGAAGGAACTAGTGTGTCAACTGAGGAAAAAGAAATAAACCCAGAAATACCACAGGCGTTAAAAAGTAATGGGAGGGACAGCCACGACCCAGAGCCCACTGGGAACATTTTGTTCTGTTCTTTATGTCAAAGTTTCTATAACCTTGAGGGAAACACATGTACAACTTCCAAAAAGTGAGACTGAGTTAAAACGAAAATCACAGCAGGAAGTAGCAAGGACAGCCTCAGCAGCTGTTGGAGTGGTAAAGCGGGAGCACATGATGGGCTCCCAATAGGACTTTACAAACCCCCATAGCGACTGGAGTATTGGGCTATAATGCACAGCCAGATAACACCAACCTCGCTATTTGCCCGAAGGAAGGAGAGCTCCTGAGTGAGTGCTCGAGCTACAGCCTAAACTCCCTCCTTTAACACGGACCTAAAAATATTTGTTAATAGTTATAGTGTCAGTAAGGTGAGTTGTTGATATAGGGAGGGATTTCCAAAGCTGAGATGGGGATTTGGATGGCCAAATCCAATTAATTTCAAAATCCCACCCGAAAAGATCAAGTACTGGAGGTTGTATCAGGACCATGTTGGGCGTGTTATCCATGACCTTCACTCAGTGTAGTTTATACCTGAGCTAAGATTGATACTGTCACCTGATGCTAAAAATGCATTATACTAGTTGGCGTTCATGGGAGTTAAGGCCATTTTATAAAATGAATCCCGACAATGTGAGACACCCGTTGAGCAGCATTGCTGATTGCTGGATCTTGCCCAAACGTCTTTCTGCTTAATAAGAGGGCACATGTTTGTGATACACCCTGTCCTAATCAGCATTTCCTTAGCGCCCTGATAGGATATGATTCAGACATCTCCAGCATTTAAACAGGAAAAGGTGGTGATGGTGGGAATCTCATCTAGCTTCTGTTTTTCGCCAACCCAAATGTGCTCATGCCAATAGTATGAAATGTTGTGGCAACTAGAACAGTATGACTGGACTGAAAGGTGATATTGCTACATTTTACATTCCAGATTAGCATACATCACTATGAAGTAAGTGATGCGTTCCTGAGTTGTCCTTTTTACAGTGACGTCCCAAGATTTTCAACATTTAGGGAGGGGTAGTGCTCTTAAGCATATGTGTATACATTCATTCTTGGGGGTTATAAATGCTCACTATGGGAAGTAACACAGGTTTGGGGTAGTGTAGGGACCAAACAGTCAGCTTGGTGGGAAAGATGAATGTTGTTACAATGATCACTATACAGGGAGCCTTAATTATGTAGTAAACTAATTAACAATCCTGAGTGTAAGTTTTTAAACAGAATAATGAGCTAGTTTGGAAGGGTAACCAGCCAGGGGATAGCTGGGTGCACTCCATGTGGTTCAAGGAAGAAGGGAAGGCTTTCATTGCTAATAAGTTTTGTCCACATTCTGAAATCCATGACATTGATATCCTTCACATGCAGTAGATAGAAATGTTCAAAGGGAACTGCATGGTGCCCCTAACTTAAAGGATGCCCCAGCGGGCACAAATGAATGAGATGGATCAGTTTTGACACACTACTCTTTGGCAAAAGTGTGTTTGTAATTATTTGAAACAAAGTAAAAAGGTTGATGTTTCGGCAGCGGTGTCTTTTCGCCTCTGTAAGTGGTTATGAACTGTAACAATCTTTATATGCTCAGAGTTGATAGACCACCACAGCTGTGAAAAGTGTGGTTATTAATGTGATTGGTATATGCAGGAAAATATTAATAAATTATGATGGTCAAATGAATAAATTACCAGGAGATTATAAAAACCCATCTCCTATTCCAGGGATCCATTTCCAATAATCTCCTACTAATTTGTTCCTCTCACTGTTGCACATATTGTGCAAATTTTAAGGAACAAGTGAAGGCTGTAAGTTGAGTGAAGTCTGAGTGGCTGAAGAACTACATGGCAATGAGAACCACCTAAATCAGGGGACGGCAACCTTTCAGAAGTGGTGTGCCGAGTCTTCATTTATTCACTCTAATTTAAGGTTTTGCGTGCCAATAATACATTTTAATGTTTTTAGAAGGTCTCTTTCTATAAGTCTATAATATATAACTAAACTATAGTTGTATGTAAAGTAAATAAGGTTTTTCAAATGTTTAAGAAGCTTCATTTAAAATTAAATTAAAATGCAGAGCCCCCGGACCGGTGGCCAGGACCCGGGCAGTGTGAGTGCCACTGAAAATCAGCTTGCGTGCCGCCTTCGGCACGTGTGCCATAGATTGCCTACCCCTGACCTAGATCTTCAGCTCTTCATTTCCAAATGTCTTAACTTTATTTTTGAAATTGTATAACTTTTGTAAAGAAAGGGAAAAGTTGGTTTGGGGCATTAGATGGACCACACTTCAACGCATGTTTAACTTGACTCTTATTTAATAAAGATGCATGTTTAAGAACGTATGTTAATTAAAATATGTCAGCTGTACGTACTCACTGTGGGATCTAGAAGTTAAGTTACTTGCTGTCCTGGTTACTCAGAATCATCAGTAATAAAGATACTGCCATCCAAATTCTGCCTTTCATTATCCCTATGCCAATCCGCCATATCTTTCAGTGGTGTTACTCATTAGTAGTAACAAGCCCAGGGATCTGTTCTAGGTCCGATGTTATTTAACATCTTTATTAATGGCCTGGATGTAGGTATAGGGAGCTTACTGATCAAGTCCACAGATGACACAAAGCTGGGGGGTTGCAAACACTTTAGGAGATAGAACTGGATTTTAATAAATTGGAGAAATGGGCTATAGACAACAAAATGAAAATCAAACAAAGACAAATGTAAGGTGCTACGCCTAGGGAAGAAAAACCAAATGCACAAATACAGAATAGGGGATAACTGGCTTGTCAGCAGCACTGCTGAGAAGGATCTGGGAGTTGTGGTGGTTGACAACCTCGACATACGTCAGCAATGTGATGCTGTTGCAAAAAAACAAATGCAATTTTGGGTTGCATTAACAGAGGCATAGCATGCAAGTCACAGGAGCTGATAGTACTGCTCTTCTCGGTGCTAGTTAGGCCTCAGCTGGAGTGCTGTGTCCAGTACTCCAGTCACCAATGCATAGAAGGGATGTAGAGAAACGGGAAAGGATCCAGAGGCAAGTGACAAAGATGATCCAAGGGATGGAACACAAGCCATATGAGCAAAGGCTAAAGGAATTGGGTATGTTTCATTTCGAAAAGAGGAGATTAAGGGGAGGGGAACATGATAGAGGGCTTCAGATACTTGAAAGGCTGCCATAAAATAGATGGAGAAAAGTTGTTCTCTCTTGGGCAGGACAAGAAGCAATAGGTTCAAACTACAGCATAGCCGATTTAGATTAAATCTCAGGAATAGCTTCCTAACTGTAAGAACAGTAGGCCAATGGAACAGACTGCTTCTGGAGCTTGTGGAATCTCCTTCACTGGTGGTTTTCAAAAGGATGCTGATAGCCATCTGTCTTGGATAGTTTAGAGACAACAAATCCTGCATCTTGGCAGGAGGTTAGACAAGACCCTTGCAGTCCTTTCTAACCTATGGTTCTATGATTCTATAACCAAGTGAGATCCCGACATTAGAATTCAGTCAATAACTTGATACATGTGCCAGAATAGGATTCAGCTCACTCTCCCTCCGCTTTGCTGGCCAGGGAGTGCAAACAGGAGTAAAAAGTAATGAAAACATAGTTACCAAAGGAAGCAGATGGGACTCTGATTACAAACAGGAGGAAGATCTGATGAAGATGGAGGTGCCATTTTTACACCACTTTTCAGATTAGAGCTGCACTTAAAATGTGGTAATAATTCTGGGGGGTTCATAATAGCTCAGGAATGTAAACATTTGCTTTCCTATAATGTAACAGCACATTTCAGTTTTCTAAAAAAGTTACCAAAGATTCCATTTGGCAAAGTCACTATGTATCACAATGACTCTTAACTCCTTGTCTGTTTTTTTCCCCCTCGAATAGTTGATTGGAATGCTGTTGGCATGCTGTCTGTCCCGATTTATCACGGCCAATCAGTATGAGATGGTGTAACAAGGTGAGCCGTTATCTCTTTGTACAGTGTGCTGGCCACAAGGTATTCAGTAGCCATGCTCTGCTGTACATTTGTTCATGATAGTAGATTTTGGGTATCTCATGTTTTTATCAAGAATGGGGCCTTTAGCTGTGGGTTCTGCCTCCCTCCGCCCCAATATTTTGCCTGGTGGAAAGAGGGGAATTGCAGCATCACTTGAACATATAGTTTATGAATATTTTGTTACCTCTGAATATATTTTTTTAACAGAGAAAGTTCTGTTGTGAAGCTTGTTAGCAGCTAAAACAATTCATCTCTTTCTCTCTCCTTCCCTAGTCTTTCAGAGATGTGAAATACAGAGCCTGTCTCAAAATCAGGAACTGCAGCAATCTAGGAAGACTTTAAAGAATGTTAGAGCACACTTTCTCGCTCGCACACGCGTGCACACACACACACACACACACACACACCATCTTCTAAACTCCGTACCATGTGTAGTGTACCATTCCGTGAAGTACTATTGCACCACCAAGAGTAGCTTGAACCATTCAGCATCCAGTACTGTACACTCCATCTTAAAGGTTCTGCATATGATGGCACTATATGTATGTTCTTGGTCATACAGTAGTTGCATTGTACGTGAACAATGGTAATCCATTAACAGCATCGATCAGGCCGTGCATGTAGTGACTGGAGGGCAAAATTAGCCTTTCACCATGGTTAATAAGTGTTGCACACGTTCATTTAAACCAGTATATGAAATATATATTCTTTTGCTTTACTAAATCTTAGTTTCTTGTTTTGTTTACTGCTTTACTAAGGTTTTCATCTTCTCGCCACAAATGCCCCCTTCCCCCAAAACACAAGAAATCAGTAACATAACATAAAGATACTTGAAAAATAATGTTATAATGTTGTGCTTGAAGGGAACTGTTATTCCTGATGTTCTACTACATCTTTGATTCTTATTCAATGTTGTATGCCTAGTGCGTATGCCAGTAGACTTTGTCTAGTGCATTTTGCCTCTGAACCTGAACCTGTGTAATACTGTTATTAAGCTGTGTTGTTGCTTACTGTGAAGGCAGTAATTTTGCTTCTTTTATTTTTTTATTAGATAACTATGAACTAATCAAATCGTGCTGTAATGCGGCCTTCATCCTTTTTTCTATTTTCTTTTTTTTCCCATTGACGTTACAGCCACCAAATATATTGTCAAATCAATCAAAACAAAAACAAGCATACAGAATATTTTGGGGGGGAAGCAAAAGTTTAAAACCTTTTTAAAAAAATAGGAATTTTTTAATAATGTCTCTGTCTAGCATGCCAACAAGAATGCGTTGATATTGTATTTGTGAGATATGTATTAATAAATGGAACTATTACAGATTTCTATCTGCTTCACGTTTGTTCTTCAGTCCTAACACAACTCTCAGGGAGAAGTAAAACACAAAGTGCATCGTTATTTAGAATTATGCGTATTTTAACTTGTGACTTGCTTATGAGGCAAAAATAATATTGCCTTGGAAGGAGGTAGTAGCTGGAATTGTTTCAAACTTGGTGAAACAAACTGGAATAAGTGGAAGGTTTTTTTATGGGCTGAATACATACCCTCTGCTTCACAATTACTCCTTTTGTGGCTGGTAACAAAATCTACAGTGTTCAATGATCCAGGTCCTTAATTGTATTGCACACTATTATGGTGTTAAGAATTCCCTTACATTTGTTTTTGCATAGCACTGACTGCAACATTTGTGGAAAGGTATGCACTTGTCTCTCGGCCTTGGAAGGGTCTCTCTCCGTGTGAATATATGGAGAATTTAGGGCCTGACACAAAGCCCATACAAGTCAGTGGTAGTTTTCCATTGACTACAATGGGCTTGGATTGGGCACTAAACCCCCTTAATCTAAAACCCATTGAAATCAATAGGAAGACTCCCATTGACTTCACTAGGCTTTTGTTCAGGCCTTAAATCAGTAATTTACCTGTAAGTTGAGAAGAGAATTTAGCCCTCTTTGTTACTTGGGTAAAAAAGAAAAATGAAGGAGGAAAGCTGTAGCATATGTGGGCATAAACTTTCAAGCCTTTCTGAAAAGTACCATCAAATACAAGAAGTAATTGTACAGTGCCTCAGCCCTACATTGTATACCCGGCGATGAACAGCAGTCTCTTTAAACTATAAAGGCATGTCTTTCTGTAAAGCTTAATAACTGCAGAGGCGTTCAGTATTGTGCATGCATACACAACCCCCCATAATTACATGTGCCTTTGCTGTGTACACTTTGCATATGCACTCAGGTATGGAAACTCTTTTGCTCTGACTAAATTCCAGGAAGATAAAACACCGCTGAGTGACTTGCAGGTAGTGTAAAAATATAGCTGGTTATTGTCTCAAAGCTGCCATTCAGACCCGTTAAGGGCTGAGGTTGAACCTAGATAACACACATTAGGCTTTACTCAAACAAGTTGCAAAATGCCACAAACTGAAGTCCAAGTGCAGGGTATTATTTTTGGTTTCCACATCCCCTGAGCTGAAAGAATAAGGGAACATCTGGACAGATCTTAGATTAAATAGACATATGTGTTAAACGTATGCTCTGACTGCACTTTTACAAAAGCACTGGTGCTGCTATAAACACAACCACCAGGACTCCTTGGCAGAATACAGACCCTCCTTCTGCCTCTTGCTTGTGTTTTCTTTCCCCTTAGCAGCAGGGACACTAGACTCCCTAATTAGTATGGAATAAACCATTCGAAGCAGGTTTTAAATGAGATCTCCAGGAGAATCCTGTAGACCGCAACTCATTACACTGCCTACCCTGGTGCCTGCGTTGGGGATCAGACTCTGATACCAGGTTCTAAGCCAGTGGTGACAGTGGAGCCCGAAGATGGCTCAGGTGTGTGCATGCATACGTGGTCTCTAGCAGCATGCGCTGCTTTTCAGCATTCGCTGCCAATAAATCCATTGTCTGGTATTGATGTTGGCTGGAGTGATCCCTGCTCTCTCATCCAAAATTAAAGGCAACCGTAGTAGTAGTAGTAGTGCTGAGGAATGAACAGGCATGCAGGGATACATAAAGGAAACAAAACATGAAAAGACCTTAAAAGCTCACTGGCACCTTCAGCTTTATTGGGGTGGGAGCTTGCACTTGGGGGGGGGAAGCAGAACTTGGTGTCAATCTCTAACCACAGATCATTATTGTTACTGATGTGATCCATTGCTGAGAATAAAGCTGATCTTCACTCTCTCCCTCCTGCTGTATTTGACTGATGCTTGTAACTCCAATAGCTTCACCTTGGCCTTGAGTCTCAATCTGCGCTTTCCAGTGGCAGAGTCTGCTCTGCCTCAGCTCCAGCTCTGCTTTACTTGACACCTATCACTAAACAATAGAATTTCTAAGTTAAGATTTGTTTGTCACCAGCTGATGTTATGTGCCACTTTCCCTAGTAACAGCTGCTTTCCCTGCCACTGCTTGGTTCTGGGTTTTTTTTAAGGTACGTGGAACTGTGTGTGTGTGTGTGTGTGTGTGTGTTGAGATGGGGTAAGATAGGTGGAACTGTGTGTGTGTGTGTGTGTGTGTGTGTGTGTGAGTTGAGATGGGAGTAGTGGTTATTACAAGGGTCCACCATAGCTATGATTACTTTTAGACTTTCAATGTAACCCTCTGTTTTCATATGCTCAGACCTTTCTGAGAAATTCCCCGGACCCTTTCTATGCGTAATCTCAATCCAATGGCTGGTTGTGTTTATGTTGTTTTGTTTTTCTTTTTAATTCCTTCAGCCATTTTTAAGCTGTGAAAGGGTAAAATCCCCTCCCCCACCCCCCTAATTTTATGAAAATGTAAAGATGCTTTAGCTCACAAGTAGCTGAAATTCAGCATCTGACAATGTGAGATTGACTAGTCGTTTCTCAGAAGAGCTGAAAACTTGCCTTAATCGTGGGGGACAGAGCTATAAGAATGTTCAAATTCGTCAATGTGCACAGACATTAGTAACTTTGGCTAATGTTGGAAGCTATAAAACGAAGTACTACACTAAGGACTAAATCCTGCTTGGCTGATTCGCACAAGTAGTTCCCTTAACTTTCCTAGCTGGCAAATTACTGCACCTCTAGAGCCAGGAAAGTGCTTACAAAACACGGGTTTTCTGGCTTCCATCCTCCCAACCCCAAAACCAGAAAATTAAATAAAAATCAAATGTATTCTTGATGTTCTGCACTGTGGTATTTAAATAAATGTGTGTATATAATACTGAGAGAGGAGAAACCTGTATATTTAAGCAGGTTAATCATTAACATTTGTCCTGCAGTGAAGTTGCCTTCTGCTCAGTTTTGCTGGGTCTCTGTGGTCTGTGCTGGTTCAGGAGGAAGGACGATGCATTGTTCTCCTCAAGAACAGTATGTGGATTCTGTGCTTTGCAGCTTCACGATCCATCAGGCAGGCCTGGCAGTAGCTGTAGGAAATCAAACACTGGAAATGACTGACTGTGCATTTGGGCAAATTGAGGGCAATCAATTAAAAGCTGGATTTTGCATAAAGACTGGAACTCCAAGCAGACCAACTTTCCTTCGTTATTGATGTCTGCCTTTCTTGTACACGCCACAGTGCAGAGAAAAGGAATTGGTGTCCTAGCTTTTGTTTGGGCCCTGTCACTAGACTGCTGTATATTTGCTGTTTCATTTGTTTCCCTGTATTGATTTTTCTATTATAAATGATATGTGCTCCACATTCAAACCTGGGAAAGTTCGGAGCAAGATCCAAACGTTGCAGCTTGGCCTCAACTCTGATTGGAATGTCTTTTTTTTAAAAAACACCTTTTATTTATATTGCCTGTGCAGTTCTGTATTGCTGAACCTCCAGCTAAAAGGGCAAATGAACAGCTGCCTTCAGAGACCAGGTCATTCTTCAGCTCAGCCTGTGGGGAGCTGTCTCTCTCTGTCAGGAACAGTAGTTTCCTTGCTGGAGCATTCCCTTGGCTTTTGATAGCTCTGAGTTTGGCACGCTGAAGTCTGCTCCTTTTATGCCAACGCAGCCCACTGCTTCTCTGCTCTGCTATGCTGCAGAACAATGTTCACGGTTTAATTAATGTGAAGAATGCCAATACAATTTCTGCATAAATGCTGGGCAGCTTTCATGTAACTCCTCTAGGGGGATTTTTTTTTCAGGCTATGGAAATGCTGTTTACAAGCACAGTTTCCTCGTATTCCCCCCCTTCTTGCCCCAGTGGTGTATGCTTGATTTGTTTCCAATTTGCAGTAAGCCTGGTGTTCTATTAGTGGCTTTGCTTCGTGTATGTAGTAGAATGTGCACTTTCTACCTTGTCCTTCAACCATATGATTTATGGGGACAGCTCCTGCATACCTCATCCCTGAGAATTCAATGGGACTTTTGGTACACAGAGGATTAGAGAATCAGGCCAGACCCTGCAGTTTTTATTCTAGGAAAACTCCCATGGAAGTCAGGACAGCAGCTGTAAAAAGGTAAGTACTACAAGCTCTTCTTCAGACAGCTCTAAAAATGTATCCTGTCTCTCTACAACACCCCTCCCCCAATCAACTGAGTATTTTAATCAAGCAGGAAATTTGAACCAACAAAGAATCACACTAGGTGGCCTTTTAAGTTCATTTCAGTCAAAGTTGTATCTTGCTCTGATTGAAGGGTGATGCTGAATTAAGGGTCATCTCTGACA